AGGGGCATAACCTCCATAATCGGAAGACAACGGCACGAGACTACGAGCTACGTGAGTCGAGGGCCGACTACCCTAGATCACCGGGCCCTTGACAACTGGTATCACGTTCCAATCGATCCTCGGCCGCCCGCCATCATCTCCGACACCCGGCCACCACCGAGCAAACCCTAGCCCACCACCATCTCCCACCGCCCCCACAACCATCCCGGCCGCCATGGCTGCACCCACCCTCGCCCGAAGTCATGGAGATGCTCAAGTCCATGAGAACGGAGATGTCCCACCACGAAGTCCGACATGGCGGCCATGAAGGACAAGTCCTCATCATCTTCCGTGGCGGCGGCGATCGATCGTCGTTCAAGGCCCGCGCGATCGGGACTTCCACCCCAAGCACAAGAAGTGGGATTTCCCCGCTCGACGGCACGTCCGACCCGATGCTCTTCCTCAACAAGTGCGACGCCTACTTCCGTCAACACCGAACCATGGCGGAGGAGCGCGTGCTCATGGCATCCTATCATCTGGACGACGCCGCGCAGCTGTGGTTCATCCAGCTGTAGGACGACGATGGCACGCTGAATTGGGGGCGCTTCAAGGATCTCTTGAATCTGAGGTTCGGACCCCCCCTCCGCTCCGCTCCGATGTTCGAGCTCTCCGAGTGCCGGCGCACCGGGACCGTGGAGGAATACTCCAACTGGTTCTAGGCGCTCCTACCGCGCGCAGGCCGGCTCGACGAGGATCAACGCATCCAGCTCTACACCGCGGCCTCCTTCCGCCGCTTTCGCCACGCCGTCCGCCTTCATCACCGGAGACTCTCGCCGCGCCGCCATGAGTCTGGCACGCCAAGTGGAGTTGATGGAGAGCGGCGGCGGCGCCCGACACCACCAAGGGGCTCTCGCGCGCTGCCGCCCACCGATGCCCCGGGCGGCTCTACCAGCCGCCGCGCCTCTCTGGCGCTCCGGCCCCTCCGTGGCGGCTGACAATGAGGTCAGCACCGAGGGTGGCCAACGCCGCCTCACTCCAGACGAGATGGCGAAACGGCGCCGCCAAGGTTTGTGCTTCAATTGTAATGAGAAGTACTCACGTGGTCATAATAGGTTCTGTCGCCGCATCTTTTTCCTTGACGGCGTGGAGATCGACGACCCCGACGGCGACGCTGCTGCCGTGGCAGAGGACGGGGCGATGGAGGCTCCCGTCTTCTCCCTTCATGCCGTGGCGGGCGTGACCGTGGGTGCCCCCATCCTGCTTCGGGTCACCCTGGGCACCACGACGCTTATCGCCCTGGTGAACACGGGGTCCACGCACAACTTCATCGGTGAGGCGGCCGCGCACCGCACCGGGCTCACCATCCTTCCCCGTCCATGGCTCACTGCCACAGTCGCCAATGGCGAGAAGGTGGCCTGCCCCGGCGTTCTCAGGCAGGCGGCTATCTCCATCGAGGGCATGACGTTCGATGTCGACTTATATGTCATGCCCCTTGCCGGCTACGACATGGTGCTGGGCACCCAGTGGATGGCCGTCCTAGGATGGATCGCATGGGATGTCGCCACCCACACCCTGTCTTTCGAGCATGCGGGCGCCCATCTGCTGCTGGACGGCGTGGCCTCCACCGCAACGCCGCCGCCGTCCACGCCACGACCACGGACGGCTCGCTCTCGGAGCACCTCACAGATTCCTTTGGTGATGTGTTCGTGGAGCCCTGGGGGTTGCCTCGCAGCGCATGCGCCGCGACCACCACATTATCCTCAAGCCCCCGACGCGGCTCGGTGGCGGTCCGCCCTATCGCTACCGGCGGCCCACAAGGATGAGCTCGGCGCCCGGTGCAACTCCATGATCGCGCAAGGCATTGTCCGCCGCAGCAACTCCGCTTTCTCATCGCCGCACTCCTTGTCAAGAAAGCGGACGGCGTGGCGATTTTGCATCGACTATCGCGCGTTGAACGCGCTCTCACCGTTAAAGACGCATTCCCGATCCCGTGGTGGAGGAGTTGCTCGACGAGCTCAAGGGGGCGCGCTTCTTCACCAAACTCGACCTCCGTCCGGCTACCACCAAGTTCGCATGAGACCGGAGGATGTCCACAAGACGGCGTTCCGCGCGCGACGGCTTATATGAGTTCTTGGTGATGCCGTTTGGCTTTGTGCAACGTCTTGGCAACATTCCGGTCGTTGATGAACGACGTGTTGCGCCTTCTTCCCGCCGGTTTGTGCTCGTTTTCTTCGATGATATTCTTATTTACAGCAGCTCTGGGCGGATCACCTCCGACACCTCTGCTATTTGTCTTTGTCGAAGCCGCCACCACCGCCTCTTTGTCAAGCGCTCCAAGTGCGCGTTCGGCGTCGCGTCGGTCTCCTACCTCGGCCACATCATCTCCGAGCAGGGCGTGGCCATGGATCCGACCAAGGTGCAGGCCGTCCTTGACTGGCCGGTGCCCCGGTCGGCGTGCGTGGTCCGCGGCTTCCTCGGCCTGGCGGGCTACTATCGCCTCTTCGTCCTCAACTACGGCGCCATCGTCGCCCCCCTGACAGCGCTGCTCAAGAAAGATGGCTTCTCATGGTCGGAGGAGGCGGCTGCGGCATTCACGGCCCTCAAAGCCGCCGTGACTTCGGCGCCGGTCCTCGCGTTGCCGGACTTCACCCGCCCATTCATCGTCGAGTGCGACGTGTCGACGCATGGGTTTGGCGCAGTGCTGCTCCAAGACAAGCATCCCCTGGCATACTTCAGCAAGCCCATTGCACCCCGACACCGCTCCCTCGCCGCATACGAGCGGGAGTTGATTGGCCTGGTGCACGCCGTACGCCACTGGAGACCGTACCTTTGGGACCGGCGATTCACAGTGAAGACAGATCACTACAGCCTCAAGTACTTGCTCGATCAGAGGCTGGCCACGATACCGCAACACCACTGGGTGGGCAAGCTTCTCGGTTTGACTTTGTGGTTGAGTACAAGCCGGGTGCCCAGAACACCGTCGCCGACGCCCTCTCCCGCCGGGACACCGACTGCGACGTTGAGGCCTGGCGCGGTCCTCGCTCTGTCCGCCCCGCGGTTTGACTTCTTTGACCGGCTCCGCCACGCCCAGCAGACCGAACCAGTGCTCGTGGCGCTCCGCGACGAGGTCACGGCCGGCACGAGGGCCGAACCGTGGGCGGTGCGCCATGGCCTCCTCACTTATGGCGGGCGCATTTACATCGGCTCGGATTCGTCGTTGGTGCAGGAGCTCCTCGCTGCCGTGCACGAGGACGGTCACGAGGGCGTCCAACGCACTCTCCATCGGCTGCGTCGGGATTTTCACTTCCCCGGCATGTGGACCATCGTCCAGAATTTCGTTCGCGCATGCGCCACATGCCAGCGCAACAAGGCGGAGCACCTCCATCCTGCCGGGCTGCTGCTTCCTCTTCCGGTGCCCTTGGTGGTGTGGAGTGACATTGGCCTCGACTTCGTAGAAGCTCTCCCCAAGGTGAAAGGCAAGTCGGTCATCCTAACGGTGGTGGACCGTTTCAGCAAGTACGCCCACTTCATCCCGCTTGCGCACCCATACTCCGCGGAGTCCGTGGCCCAGGCGTTCTTCGCCGAGATCATTCGTCTTCATGGCATGCCGCAATCCATGGTGTCGGATAGGGATCCGGTGTTCACCTCGAAGTTCTGGCAAGAGATGATGCGGCTCATGGGGGCCAAGCTACACATGACGACGGCTTTCCACCCCGGTCCAATGGCCGTATGAAGCCGTTAACCGTGTCATCACCATGTATTTGCGCTGTTTTACAGGGGATCGTCCAAGGCAATGGCTCTGGTGGCTCCCATGGGCGGAGTTTGTCTCTGTCACGACCTACCGGTCCTCCTTGCGCGACACGGCGTTGCTGTCGTGTATGGTCGCGACCCCCAAGCATCCGGTCCTATGAACCCGGAGAGGCGCGTGTCGCGTATTGTCGCCAAGACAATGGCGAACGGACGAGTTCTCGCGGGGACGTCGCTACCGCACTGAGCGGTATAAACGACCCCGAAGCGCCACTCACGACAAAGTTGCACCGCGCCGTCTCCTACAAGCCGGGCGACCGGGTTTCGCCGTCTTCGTCACCGCCTTGATCGCCTCGCTAAGACGACGCCGCCGCCCGGAAGCTGAAGCCGCGCTTACTGCCGGCCGCATGCTGCGTCGTGGAAGTGATCAACGACGTCGTTGTTCTACTGGAGCTACCTCCTCGTGCCCGACTCCATAATGTGTTCCACGTCGGCCTCCTCAAGCCGTGGGTGGGTGCTCGCCGTCTGTACCACCGCCCGCCCGGTCGTCCACAACGGCGCCACGGTGCGGAGCGTAGCGCGTCGTCAAAGGTTCGGCTTTGATGCAGCGGCGTCGCGCCAGTCTTGGTCTTGTTGGAAGAACGAGCCTGTTGCGTCGGCCATTTGGGAGGATTTGGACTCCTTCACCTCGCGTTTTCCAGACTTCCAGCTCGAGGACGAGCTGATTCTCGAGGGGGAGAGAGATGTCATGTACGGCAGACGACACCCGTCTGTGACAACGCCCGCGATATCGCCGTCGTCGAACGCACAAAGACGCTGAGAGAGATGGCCACGAGGAGGCCCAGGAATCGGTCACCTCACGTGGCTAAGAAAGAAATTAGAAATAGCTTTCTATTTTAAGTACCTTAATTATTGGAGTCTTAGTTGGTTGGTTGAGGCCGTGACCTTATATATATTGTAACCGCACGTTGGTTTTGGGGGGAGAAAGAAAGATCAATTACCCTAATCTCTCTCTCTCTCTATCTCAAGCCCGAGCCGTCGTGAGGGGCATAACCTCCGCAATCGGAAGACAACGGCACGAGACTACGAGCTACGTAGTCGAGGGCCAGCTACCCTAGATCACCAGGCCCTTGACATGTCCCCTAGGCAAGCGCCTTATTCGCCTAGGCGTCCGAAAGGGGATCACTCGCCTCGCCTCGCCTTACCGCCTTTAAAACATTGAATGCCCACATGGCTGCTGATTTTGACTAACCTATAATCTTCCAGTCTTTCAGTCCCGCTTTGATATTTTGAAGATTCATTCAAGAAGAATGAACTTGATGCGCGGCATTGATCCGAAGAAGATCGCTGCGAGCCTCTGGAGCAGAGCTGAAGGTTTGTACGACGATCCTAGTTTACAAAGCATGCCTTACCAAGAGAAAATTTGCATTCAGAATGGAACAATAAACAGTAAAAACATTAAACAACTTCTTTAAGCGTCTGCAGAAATTCAGAAGCCTCGGGTTGTTATCATGTTAGTCCATGTAGTTAAAATTCTATCCACGCAAGATTTGGCCTGGGTAGCAAGGGTAAATGTAGCAGTTGTCTGGATTCACCCTCATCATTTTAGCCTCTGCAATTAGCCATTTAGGCAGAACTTCAGTCAGATTTATCTGTGTCCCAGCCATCACTTGCTCACAGGTGCAGATACCATAACGGTTATGGTACACTACTCACGTTGATTCTACCTTGTGGTTTTGCAGGCTGTTTGCACAGAAGCAGGAACGTTTGCCCTTCGGGAGAGAAGGGTGCCCGTCACCCAGGAGGATTTCGAGATGGCAGTGGCGAAGGTGATGAAGGATACAGAGAAGAACATGTCTCTGCGGAAGCTCTGGAAGTGAGTGGCTCATGTCTCAGCGCCAGGCTTACACTGCCATGTCCAAGCAGCTGAAGCGGGTGGCTGCGTTTTGCCGGATTTTCTGTGAGACTCTAGAAAAGCATTTCTGGATCTTGGAAGCTGAAACTTAACAGTGTCGTTGTGTAGCAGCTTTATTATAAGTTAAAATTATTATTGGTTTATTGAATTAGTAGATAGTATAGATAGATAGATAGATACCGAATAAAACCCACGACGCCCAGGCCATCCGCGTGGACTCCGCGAATACCATTTCGACGTCTGGCGTTTTTTTACAGCGCCGCGCCGGTCAGTTCCGTCGATGAACACCGGTTAACTCTGTTCCACGTACCGTGCACGGTGCAGATATCCTACCCCAAGATTGGGTAGTGCCTGCCGTGTGGGTGAGCCTGTGGGCCTCACCAGCGCGTCGTACGGGACGATCTCCAGTCTGCCATAAACAAAACGGATGCAGCGAATCCATCGCCTCTCCCTCCTTGCTCCCTCCGTCATCTCTTCACTTCTCCGCTGCATTTCGCCGCCGCCGCTCCTCTATGCCTGCTCAATCCTTCTCCCCTCCACTCCACCGCACCTGCTCCAGCTGCCGCCTCCTGTTCCTCCTCCTAGACCTGGACATCACCAGTTCGCCGTCAACAATCTGGCCGCTCGTGGTTCGTCCGCGCACCTGCACCATGTACGGCGGCGTGTGGAGGCTGCTATGCCCGTGATTGGTGGCCTTCATTTTGCTGCATCCGCCCGGCGGGTCGTACCCCCTACCTTCTCGGCTTCTCGCCTTCGCCGGCTCCGCTGGGGCCTCCTTGGTTCTTGTGCCGTCGTCCTTCCGCGGTAAGCTTCGGTCTCTTCGCCTTCCGATCCTTCCTTTTTTCGTTTCCTTCAATCCTACCGTACCCGCGCGTTCGTGTATCCGGCCTGCCTGGTTTGCGTCCATGCATTTCTGTTACGGGCTCTAATCGACGCTGTCTGTGCGGTGCTCGCGAGTTTCCTACAGGTTGAGTCCATGTTTTCCTGTGCTTCGTGCTTCGCGGGGATGGGATTCTTGGTTCCTGTTTTCACGATTGATTTCATGAGGGTTCGGCGTGCAGGCAGAGGCAGGGATGGGGGATTGGGGGCGGTGGGAGCGCTGCTAGAGTTTTGCCCGTGGACAAGTTCACACTGGTTGCCGTCGTCGCCTACTCAAGATGGGGTCGTCAACGAGATGAAGAGAAGATCTGTTTCAGATGGTTGCCTTCCTCATCCAACCAAAATTTTCAGGTCTTTGGTTCCTCCTGTGCATAGCAAGACTCAAAACTGATGTTGCAGGTAGCAACATTCAACTTCGATTTATAACTGCAACCTTCAGGTCTGATGTTGCACTCAATTATCTTACATTTTTTATGTATGCTAATGATATCTATATTTTAATGTTATGTGTTTCTATTGAGGATGCAAACTATGTAGGGTTGACATTACGTATCTTGGTCTGCTTTGTCTGGCCAGCTGCTCCCTGTCGCATTCCACAAATTTGTGAGGTGTGGTAGTTCTTTCTTAATTCGTATGATTTCTTATGAACATTGGTTCATTAAATTTAGAGGTCCAGTATCATATTAGTCATATAGTATAGGGCGTACCCAGTGTAGAGAGCTCCCGCTCTGTGCGGGTTCTGGGGAAGGGTGTAAGTGGTAAGCCTTATCCTCGCCTGTGCAATGCGAGGAGACCGCGACTCGAATCCGGGACCTTCCGGTCACAGGCGGTAAGACTCTACTATATTAGTCATATAGTATATATACATTTTTTTCATGATTATGCCCGTTAGATACTATTCCATTCTTGTGCTATTTGGCTACTGTTCCATGCTTATGGTAGTTACTGATGCCACTAAAACTGTTTCCTTAGAGCAAATCTTCTTCTTTGTTAGCAGAGATGAGTTATGTCACTATGTGTAGCTTGATGAGGTTCACGGGCTCCAGATAGTCATGCTGGCAGGTAATTAGCATTTCTTTTTTTTTCTATTGCTGGCATCCTTATCGAAGGGCAGGCTTGGTGTAGTGGTGAGAGCTGTCTCACTGAGTCACCAGGTCGTGGGTTCGAAGTAGCCTCTCGGTAGATTTGCGAGGGAAAGGCTTGCCTCGGTTTTTTCCTTCCCCAGACCCCACTCGTGGGAGCCTCCGGCACTGGGTCTGCCCTTTATTGCTGGCATCCTTATCGAATATTCTACAACATAATCTATTTGCCATGTTCCAAATTTCAAATACTTGAAGGTTTCTTTATGACTCTGACCAATCAGGGTTAGCATTGTAATAGTGGCATACATGTAAGGAAAGCTTTTGCCCAATGGTTTTAGATATATCTGACATATACGAACTGAATTAAAATCTTTTTAATGTTTGTTTTTAGCCATTTTTGTTGTTACAACAGGCCATTTAGTCATCTGATATTTTATACTTAACCTACATGTATGAACTGAGTTAAAATATTTTGATGTTTCAACAATGAAGGTTTAGGCTTTCAGGAATTAATCTTTGTGCTTATTTTGTGGTCCATAATTGTTGTACTATTCAGTGCTCTTTTGGGTGATGGCACTTCACAATCATGAAAAATGTCAAAATACGTTGTTTTATCTTCTATCTTGGTTTGTCAGTGCTTTCATATTCTTTCTTGTGAGCCAAGGTTTTTATACCTTCCTAATACTTGACAGTTTTATAGTCATGTCTGTCGTGCTTCAAACCTTTATTTGAGCAGGGTGCAGCACTAGACATGTAAAACTCATTTGAGCAGCAAAGCATTACCTTATCTAAGAACACATTGTACACCTCTTATTAAGGAGGTAAAGTTTGGTTGTTTCCCCTTTTGTTCAGTAAAGTAGCCAAGGGCCACCTGGACCCAGCTAGCCTATATGTTTCATCTTCTGTGAAGATAATAGATATGAGTATTTTGTAACAAACTAATATTTCTTATGATGTAGTCACCAATGCAGATTAAAAAATGAAAATATGTTCACTACTCTTTGCAACCTCAGTTTCCCCCTTTTTAGATCACAAGTTGTTTATACAGCGCCACAATATTGTTCATTCCTTCCATATGTTGTTTTTCACAATCCATTGGTTTTACCATTGCTAATGGCATATCCCATATAGGACTGAGTTATGCCCAGATAAATCTGCCAACTACAACATGCTCAAATGTGCAGTCCTGCCTGTGCTTTCTTTGATCTCAGATCTTTTTGCTCAGGTTTGGTTCCTATGCGCACATCAGTTGTTTATTTCAGCTTTTTGCTTCTTGAGTTGCTCAGCTATAATTGTGCTCTCTGTCCTTAGTGGTACAGATGATTATTAATTCCCTTTATTCAATTTTCTGATTAACTACACTATACCTTTCTTGGCGAAACCATGTATCATTTCACTGGATGAATAAACTATTATGTTGTTGAAGAACATATGATGTTCGCTGGATGAATATAGCAGCTTATGCTTTCCCTTTTGGCTTCTACTGATGAAATGTAGCTAGGCCACACTGTCGATTAGGTGAAATAATTTTTTGGGTTCATCCAGGGGATTGCCGTTTACTTTCGTGGTTATTTCTCTCTAATCCTGACCACATAGATAGTTGATTGATTGAATTTCTTTTTTTGAATATGCATGTTAACAATGACAGTTCATGACCTTGCTCTGATTAGATGACATTTTTTTATATTTGTTGGCAGAGACTTCTGGTTTTTTGGCTTAGAATTAAGAAGCACAAAGCATGACAAATACGCATGTACACATTTATACTCCCTTCCTTTCTGTTTACACACACCTGTGCATGCCTGTGATTGTTTTCATACCACAGGCTAGCTGCTACTCTTTTGCTTTCATGCCTGTAGTAATATCCAACAGGCTCAAAGCATTTGCTATTCTTTTTGCACTTGAGTTCTGAACAACTGAGTTATGCCTCTGGAATGAATCCGCAGGTGGTTCAGTTGGCATAGTGACCTGTAGTCTTCCGGTTCCTCCTATTTAAAGACAAGAGAACCGCAGGAGCTCAACCTCAATGAGAACGTACACGTTGAAAGGACCTTGTTTGGTTTTGGTAATTGAGTGACAACCTAGGTGGACGAATTATGTTTAATGTGAGATACACATGTGATCAGTCCACAAGTACATATTGTGAACAACATATGCCATGAAGGTGAAATGGCTCGGAGATGTTGCAAAGCTCACACATGTGATGAAGGAGCTCATTGCACATGAGACATGACATTGAGTCATGTGATCAAGGTGGAGAAGAAGACATGACTTGGCTCGACGGACCGGTTGCAAGTGTGAAGGGCAAGTTGAGTGATAACTTGTTGTCGGTGGACCGAAGCAACGGTGAAGAGCAAGTGAAGTCAAGATCGATGAATCAATATGGTCACGTGATGATATGAAGTGGATCATATCATTGTCGATCATGTTGGTGCATGTGTTGCATCAACATCAAAGGAGTTGGAATGGAATGGGCAAGACAAAGGTATAACCTAGGGCATTTCATTTCACCGGTTATAGGTGTGTAGAGAAGTTTATGATTGGGTTTAGGATAGATGGCCGTACTATCAAGAGGGGCAAACTTGTTTGCATATCGGTCATCTAGTGCCACTCGAGTGACCTAACTTTGTATCGTTGCTAGGATCGAGTGGCGTGGCAAGTTGAGTGGCTAACTCCTTAAAAATGTTTGTGAAAAGCAAACACGCGTGCACAAGGTGTTGTACATTTGGTGGTGTTGGCACATTTGCAAAAAAGAAGAAGTTGGAGTTGAAGTGGATCAACTCGACGAAGAAACGGAGGCGAAAGGAGGTCACTGATAGTGACCAGACGTAGGCCTCGGCAGGACCTACGCGTCCAGTCAGTGTAGGCTGAGAGGCGCGGTCTCGGTCTTGATGACCGGATGCTGACGCCTGCTGGTGACCGGACGTGACACTCATGCGTCCGTTCATTGGTGACGTATGGTGACTTGGCGTTGGTGGGCTGACCAGAGAGGACCGGACGCTGACCGCGTCAGGTCACGTTGAATCGAACGCGTTAGGTCGCGGTTTTGCCTTTTGGGACCCTCTCTGGAGTTGACCTGACTCCGCGCGGCGCAGCGTCGGAAGGAGGGATCGGCGCGTCCGTTTGATTTCTCGGTGTGAGCAAGCTTGCGAGGACCTGACGCAGCGCGGCTGCGTCCTGTCATGCTCCTGTGAGTCTGGTCGTCACTTGACCGTTGAGGTGGTGTCAGTGACCGTTGAGATCGCACGGCCAAGGTTGAACGTGGAGGCCACGTGGCGCGATCGCAGCAATCGGACGCTGGCCGGGTGCGTCTGGTCATCTTGACCAGCGCGTCCGGTCACCTCGAGTTGCCTCCAGTGAAGGGGTAACGGCTAATTTAGCCCGTGGGGCTATAAATAGAAGTGGTGGCCGGCCTTTGGCCGGTAGCTGAGCACCCTTGAGCCTTGGTGGCTTGTGTAGGTGTGCTTGGGAGCCCTTTAACTCACTTAAGCTTGATAGTGTTCATCCAATCGAGTGAATGAGCGATTCTAGTGTGATTGCATCGTGAGGTTGCATCGAGTGGCACTAGGTGATCGAGTTGCAAGCCGGTAGTGCTTGTTACTCTCGGAGGTTGCCACCCCCTAGACGGCTTGGTGGTGGTCTCCGTTGAAGCACGTAAAGAAGATTGTGCGGTGCTCCGGAGAAGAGATTGTGAGGGGTATTGTGCTCACCCCGCGGGAGCCGCGAAGAGTAACTCTAGTTGAGCGAGACGCGAAGGGTGACAAGTGGTCCGGCCGAGTCAAGCGCTAGAGCTTGTGGTAAGCACTCCACGTGGGAGAGTGACTTGTGGGTCACAACTAGTAAGAGGACTGGCGACAACCTTGGAGCTTGTCTCAACGGGGACTAGCGTGTTGGCAAGTACGTGAACCTCGAGATAAAAATCACCATGTCATCCTTGTATTCCCGTTGGTTTGCATCCTCGTTACACAAGCTTGTATTTACTTTATTTACATTGTGCTTGTGTAGTTGTTCTTATAATTAGTTAGCTTGTGTAGCTTGCTAGTTACCTTTTTGCTTATGTAGTATAGAAGTTGCTCCCTTACGTGATTAATTCTGTTTGAGTAACCTTGTTAGTCACATTGCTTAGTTTGTGTAGCTAAATAATTTGCGCTCTATAATTTGTCGTGTGTAGCCTTGTTATTAAGCATTGCTAGTGAGGTTAGGTGGCTTTGTGCTTTTGCTTACTAACATGTGTAGGAGCTCTCCCGTTGCTTGAAGTACTAGTGGCATAGGTTTGTGTGACATTGCTTTTAGAATTGGTCAGGTGTGCTCTAACTAGTTCGGCACCTTTGTTGCCTAATTAGGATCTTTATAAGGTGCTTGTGAACTTAGATAGAAGGGTGCAATCTTGGCTAGACCGATAGTTTTAATTTCGTATTTGTTTCGGTAAGCCAGCGAGATGAATTTTAGAAAGGACTATTCACCCCTCTAGTCCGCCATCTCGACCCTACACACGTCACTTGATTAATTCTGGCCACCCGATCTTCAATCCTACG